TACTCAGCCTTCAGCATGGTATTGGATATTTTAGATGTATTTTTCCCCACAAGGCTACTGTTTTCACTATTTATTGTTTTCTGACTGTTTATGCTCAGCATAAATGGACATGGCCTTGTTGGTCGTGTCACCCTAGGGTAACATCTCTTGTCTCTAGTCAGTAGTCTAAAGCCTGTTATCATATTTTGGCTTTCCTGCCCTCAAAATGTTAGAATGATATAAGGTTACTTTGAATTTATCTCCGTGAGTTTTTTTTTTTTCTTTTTCTTCGTCTTTCTTTTCCTGACATACTTAAAACACTAGAGTAGGGCAGATGAATAGGGACAATGTGACGTAAATGATGGAACAATGCAGTAAAAATCTCATTAATCTAACATATTTTTTGGCATGCTTCACCACATGAGAATTTTTAAAATTTTACCAAATACCAAAAATGTTGCATAATATTTATAACATTGTCAGCAAGGATTGTAACCTGTTCTGGGTTTACTGTTTCTGCAATCTTATTAGGCATTGGCTGACTTACATTTTATTTTGTAGATTACAGACCCTGATTAAAATAAATGCGCTCATCACAACTTTATATAATAGCATGTGTGTTCAAGTATTATCTAGTATACTCTTTTTTTTGTTGTTGTTGTTAGTTTTAAATTATGTTATTTTTTAATTTTGCTAAATAACAAATATCTTCAATCTGTAGCTAGTAGTTGGTAAAAAGTGAAATTCACTTCACCTGAACAGATTATGGAATTTTAGAATAGATTATGGAATTTAGTCTTGTTAGATTGAACTATCAGCTAGACTGAACATTCAACCAGTAGGTTTACTTGTACATAAAGGTATAATTTTTCCATTTATTATATTATTAAGAAGCCCTGTTTTCCATTTAATTTTCAAACCACCATCTTAAATGAGGTCATAATTTCTGCTTCACTATAAATTCAGAAGCAATTTCATGCAGTACTTCTTGTTCCACTAACTTCTGACCTTTGAGTCACTTATTTTTGTATACAACACTTACATGTTAATTTATTTTCTTCAGATTCTGGCCTACTTTGCTTTTATGTATTTGTTTATTTTTCCATTTCCTCACTAGTATTGCAAGTACAAGTACATCCATGGAGTCAAGACACAGTGGATCTCTATTCCATGTTTACAGACTAGTGTCCTAATATTCATACTTTTTCTCTTATTATATCTGTTATTTTTATCAATAGTCATAAAAGATTTTGATTGTCAATAAAGTAATCAATATTAAGATTCATGTTAGTTAATATATGTTAATTCTCCAGAAAGCATATGTTATTATCAAGCTCCATTAATACTCTTTATTTGAAATTTAATGCAACTTTCAATGGATTGATTGTTTCATTGTTGTGACAATCTACTGTGCAATTTCATGTTTGTTCTATTTAACTCTTTACTAACTTCAGCTAGAAACATCAGTCAAAGGCAGAATGCTAAAACAGAAAGGCTCTCTGTCCTGTATAGCTGAACTCAAGACTTCTCTCTAATATGCTTTTTCTTTTCAGTTGTTGCTGTTCTATTTTCAAGTCATTCACATCACAAAGATTCAAGTGCACATTTCAGCCTGTATTTAACATTCCATATCTTTATGTTAGTCAGGGTTCATTCTTGCTGTCTTAAACCCTAAAACATGTTGTGTTGTTTTGTTTTGTTTTAACAATAACTCACTTCCAGTTAAAAAATAATAATAATATTAACAATAATAATAATTAAAAAATCATACCAGAGCATCATATTTTATGCAAAAACACTGCATTTGCTTTGTGTTTGGCATGTTTGTTGATGTATCCTTGATATAGCCTTGCTTTCCATTAGCAACTTTACTGTACTAATTCAACTTCAAGGTCATTTCTGCCTTAATTCCATTAACCGCCTAACAGTACAATCCCATTTTATTTTATTTTATCTTATTTATTTTATTTTATTTTATTTTATTTTATTTTATTTTATTTTATTTTATTTTATTTTATTTTATTTTATTTTATTTTATTTTATTTTATTTTATTTCCCTGATTGGTACATTTCATGAGTCTTCCAGTTAATAAATACCTTCTGTTCTTGGTTAGAATACCAATGCTTGAAAAAACTCCATGATGCATGTCAGTACAGATGCTACAGTTAAAGCTCTCAGCAGTACAGCCACCCCTGAATTCAAATTAAGAAATCCATAGCCAAAACTACTTGTCACCTATACTTATATTATATTGAACTGAAGAATATAAAATAACTACAGTCCTGGAAGCCTAGAATTTGTAATTTCTATGAGTTAATATATATTTTCTTTTAGCTAGCCAAGTACTTTAGAACAGAACTGTTGTGAATTTGCTTTCAACGCTTTTCTGATTATCTTTTATTTTAATAATGACTAATTCTCCTGACATAAATGAAAAGTAACATTGAGATTGCACACAAATTTTACAGGTAAAAATAGCCTTAAAACAGATGTATCTTCTTTGCTATGATACATTGTTATTACTATTACTTTTAGCCCTATTCTTCCCATTGTATCTGTTCTTCTTATCCTTCTTAAAAGTCATTCTGGGTCTAGTCTCAACACTAGCCATGAGTTCACCTTCTGTTTTTCTTCTACCTGAGAATTAAGTACTTTGGGGCACATTTGATAAAGGGCAAAAGCAAAACGGCACAGTGCTGTCTTGATGCCAATTCACCCATTACTCAGTCCATAGAGTACTTACTTAAAGCCTTACTTAAATGGTTTGTTGAATTGAGGGAATTTTATGATTCATTCCCTACCATCTGATATGAGTCACAGTCTCTCCACTTGATGCTATTCTACTTAGCATTCAGTGATCTGAATGCCAAACAGTATTACACTATGATGGTGAGGTAACAAAGACAATAATTTTAAATTTTCTTTATACTTGATTCTGAATAGAGACCTAAAATCAATTCCTGTAAATTTGAAGAGAAAACTGATAGTGTTAAAACTATATTGAGCAATATATTTCAGAATTTCACACTCTGTGTCTCAGTAAATAATTACCCATTTTATGAGAAGTAGAACATACATAGATAGGAGATATTTAGAGGAGTCCATCATTATCTATCTATCATCTTGACTATAGTAAGGTTTGGCCTTAGTAAAACAGTTCACACTCTCCCATAACATTCTGGTTGGTAAGATGTCAAAATATAGGTTAGAATCCTGCACTGTGAGGTGAATTGAAAATTGGCTGAATGGACAAGTTCAGAAGGCTGTGATCAGTGACATTGAGTCCAGTTGGAGGTAAGTCACTAGTTTTGTACACTGTGCACAGTCATGGGACCAGTATAACTTCATCTATTCATTAATGACTTCTGCAGGGCCTTCCTACCCTCCAATAGATTGAAACCTCTTGCCAACTTGGTGTCATCTGCAAACTTACTGAGGGTGCACTCAATTCCCTCATCCATTTTTTTGTTTGCTTAGATATGTTTTTGACATCTTTATCAATATGCCTATTACTATAACACAAAAAAGCTCGATCTTGTATCAGTATTTTACAGAGAAAACAGACATAAAAGCAGAAAACAGAAGGATGATGCCTGCCTCACGGCATTTACAAGTTAAATATGGTACGGGAGATAACAGATGTACCTAGACAGACAAGAGAATACTCAGAAAGAATAAGGAAATACCAGTCAGTGGGAGAAGAAATGATCTCTGCACACTAGCGGTCTAAATATCATTGTACCTTTTTCTCTGATTATAGATGTGTCTTCATTTTTTAATGCATCTTATTACATTTATTCCAAAACATCTAAAGATAATTTATATGCATATATATATATATATTTATAGTACTCCCAGATCCTTACAGTCCAAATAGCTCCTGTCAAAAGCATTTCTCTTATCTGCCCACATCCCTCCCAGTGCTGTTTGAAACATTTCAGTAGTTCCTGATTATGTTCCAGGTCAAATTTATATCAGTTACTTGGCTAGCTTACTCTACATTTCTTAACACCTTGTCTTTACTTCCCACGATTCTATTCCAAGGATGGCAGCCTTTATTATATCTCTATCTTTCGTTCTATGATGTGTCACTTGTCAAGATCTAAATTTCTAAAAAAAAAAAAAAAAAAAAAAAATGTTAGTAATTGCCTTCATGAGGATGATCTAAACTGCCAACATTTTCTATATGCTTAGATAGCTGAAGGTCCTCTGTGACTCCAGGGGCTAGTATGTAGATTTCTGCTTCCTGTCTGTATGGGAAACTATATTTCTCTGAATTCATGCTCATTGAGTTGAGAGGAGCAAAAAAAATAATTTCTGGTAGCCACAAATATCTACTCGTATACCATTGTTCATCCTTGAAGCCATGTGCAGAAGTCAAATTCAAATTCTTTCAAGTTTTTTTTTTTTCTTTTTTTTTTTTTTTTTTTTAAATATCTTATAGATGATATATTCTTTTTCCATATAATATGTTCAAAACCATGTCTCCACATTCCTATGAGAAGTAGGCTTCTAATCTCTTGGCTCATATAAAATGGGAATCCACCTTCCCATGGATCTGAATACAGATGGAATACTTTAGATATAGTTTAACACAATCTCATTTGTCAGCTTTCTCTTGTGACTTCTTGTTGGCTCTCTGTCTAAACCTTAAAGACAAAATAATCTAGTCAGTGTCTCTGGTCGATGCATTCCTTGCTGTGAGGGTTCCTTAGGCTACCTGCAGGCTAGCCAAGAAGCCTGTAGTATTTCTGGATATTTGAGGCATAACTACTTCCAGAGATTATGTGGTTTGGATAATAACAGATTAGGTGGAATTTGTGAGGGGAGAATCTAGACTTAGGTCTATTCCTATTTTTAGAAGCCCATTCTTCCAACATACTTGACAATAACTTTATGCCTTCTCAGCCTCCTGACCTGGAAGTCTGGGATGGGGAGCAGAAAAAACCCTCCACAGTTCACATGGAAATAGTCAGAGACTTGTTGTTCCACCTGGACTGTCACAAGGGTGGAGGTGCGAGGCCCCAGCAGCGCCGGGTCCCGTAGGATGGCGCTCCGCAATCTGCTGAGGGCCGCGGCCTCCCTGTGCGGCTGCGCTCCCGGGGCGCTGCCCCCCACTGGGAAGCAGCCAGCGGCCCTGGGCTTGCAGCAGGCCGCCGGCATGGCCACCCTGAACCAGATGCACTGGAAGGGCCGGCCTCCGCAGCCCCACGTCAAGCTGGGGCCCACCTTCAGGCAGCTGCAGCTGAAGGGGGTGGTGATCAAAACCCTCATCTGCAAGCCCAAGAAGCCCAACTTGGCCAACCGCAAGTGCGCGCAGGTGCGGCTGAGCAACGGCAAGGAGGTAGTGTGCTTCATCCCCGGCGAGGGCCACAACCTGCAGGAGCACCATGTCGTGCAGGTGCAGGACGGCTGCACGCAGGACCTGCCGGGGGTCAAGATGACCATCGTGAGGGGCAAGTACGACTGCGCACGCATCCAGAAGAAGAAGTAAACAGCAGTGAGAGACAGCGGGGGGGATAACAGGGTTGTTTTTATGCCATTAAAGCCAAGCTCTGAGCTGCCCATAAAATTATATTTAAAAAAAAAAAAAAGGCCATTTGCCGAGGTGATCGGCTCCGGGGCAGATGCGTTCTGCAGCGGAGTGGGGGATTGGTCCAGGCAGGGCTAATTTTTCCAGCATCGAGCCTACTTGAGGGAGCCACTAGGACCTGGCAGCCCTTGTAAGGGAGGCTGACGAGGCGAAGGCGGAGCCAGCAGCGCCCCCTCCCCGGCCGTTCAAAAGCTGCCCCTAGGGAGCGCAAGTGACCAGGAGTGCGGAGAACAGGACGGGCAAACAGAGCGTGGCGCGGCAGAAGGGAGTGGCGCGGCAGTTCGCGCAGGCAGGGCGAGCAGGAAGGGCAGAGCTTATGGAAATGAATGGAAACAGGTCCCTGCTCGACATCGCAGGCGATACCCTCCCCTTCCAGCCACACCTTCCCAGGTGCCCTTACGCAATAGATTTGAGGCCCTGGAGCTTGAGAGACCCGTGGGTGAGGAAGAAGTAGCAAGTGTACCCAGGAGGACGCCTAAGGCAAGGAAGTCGACTCCACACCTCAGGACTGCCTCCACCAAGAAAGAAAGAAGGGTGATTGTTGTGGGCGACTCCCTTCTCAGGGGAACAGAGGGACCTATTTGTCGGCCTGACCCTACCCGTAGGGAAGTCTGCTGCCTCCCTGGGGCCAGGGTCAGGGATGTTGCCAGGAAGCTTCCCAACCTGGTTTGCCCCTCTGACTATTATCCTCTTTTGATAGTCCAGGCAGGTAGTGACGACATTGAAGAGAGAAGCCTGAAGGCTATCAAATGAGACTTTAGGGGACTGGGACGGTTAGTGGATGGAGCGGGAGTGCAGGTGGTGTTTTCGTCCATCCCTACTGTGGCAGGGAGGGGTACAGAGAGGACACGGAAAGCCCACCTGATAAACACGTGGCTCAGGGGCTGGTGCCAACACAGAAATCTTGTTTTTTTTGACCATGGGGCACTTTACTCAGCACCCAGCCTGATGGCCACAGACGGGTCCCTATCTTTTAGGGGAAAATGGTCCTAGCCCAGGAGCTGGCGGGGCTCACTGAGAGGGCTTTAAACTAAGTAAGAAGAAAGATGGGGCTGAAACAAGGCTTGTTGGAGCTGTGCCAGGGGGAACAATGGCAAGGCCAGGGGATAAGGCAATGGCCCAGCTGAAGTGCATCTACACTAATGCACGCAGCATGGGTAACAAACAGGAGGAGCTGGAAGCCATCGTGCAGCAGGCAGGCTATGACTTGGTTGCCATCACGGAGACATGGTGGGACCACTCTCATGACTGGAGTGCTGCAATGCCTGGCTATAAGCTCTCCAGAAGGGACAGGCAGCACTGAAGGTGGGGTGGGGTGGCTCTCTACATTAGAGAGTCTTTCTCTATATTAGAGAGTTCTTTTTTTTATATTAGAGAGGCTGGGAATGACAAGGTCGAGTCCCTTTGGGTTAGGATCGGTGGGGCCAACAAGGCTAGCGTCCTGGTTGGGGTCTGTCATAGGCCGCCGAACCAGGATGAGGAGACGGATGAGGAGTTCTACAGGCAGCTGACAGAAGTTGCGAAATCTTCAGCGCTTGTTCTCGTGGGGGACTTCAACTTCCCTGACATATCCTGGAAGCACAACACAGCTCAGAGAAAGCAATCTAGGAGGTTTCTGGAGAGTGTGGAAGATAGCTTCCTGACGCAGCTGGTTAGTGAGCCTACCAGGGGTGGCGCCCCGCTAGACCTTCTCTTCACAAACAGAGAAGGACTGGTGGGAGATGTGGTGGTCGGAAGCTGTCTTGGGCAGAGTGACCACAAAATGGTGGAGTTCTCTATTCTTGGCGAGGCCAGGAAGGGGACCAGTAAAACCGCTGTATTGGACTTCCAGAAGGCTGAATTTGAGCTGCTAAAGACACTGGTTGGTAGAGTCCCTTGGGAGGCAGTTCTGAAGGGCAGAGGAATCCTGGAAGGCTGGGCACTCTCTAAGAAGGAAAATCTTAATGACACAGGAGCGGTCCGTCCTCATGTGCCCAAAGATGAACCAGTGGGGAGGAAGACCAGCCTGGCTGAACAGAGAGTTGCAGCTTGAGCTTAGGAGAAAAAAGAGGGTTTATAATTTTTGAATAAAAGGTAGGCCACTAGGGAGGACTATAAGGATGTTGCAAGGCTGTGCAGGGACAAAATTAGACAGGCCAAAGCTCATCTGGAGCTCATTCTGGCTACTGCTGTTAAAAACAACGAAAAATCTCTTTACAAATACATCAGCGCAAAATGGAGGACTAAGGAGAATCTCCATCCTTTACTGGATGCGGGGGGAAACCTTGTTACAAAAGATGAGGAAAAGGCCGTGTTGTTTAATGCCTTCTTCGCCTCAGTCTTTAGCGGCAATACTGGTTGTTCTCTGGATACCCAGTACCCTGAGCTGGCAGAAGGGGATGGGGGGAGCAGAATGTAGCCTTCACTATCCATGAGGAAATGGTTGGCGACCTGCTACGGTACTTGGATGTGCGCAAGTTGATGGGGCCAGATGGGATCCACCCGAGGGTACTGAGAGAACTGGCACAGGAGCTGGCCAAGCCGCTTTCCATCATTTATCAGCAGTCCTGGCTATTGGGGGAGGTCCCAGTCGACTGGCAGCTAGCAAACGTGACGCCCATCTTCAACAGGGGCTGGAAGACAGACCTGGTGAACTCTAGGCCTGTCAGTTTGACCTCAGTGCCAGGGAAGCTCATGGAGCAGATCCTCTTGAGAGTCATCCCACGGCACTTGCAGAGCAAGCAGGCAATCAGGCCCAGTCAGCATGGGTATATGAAAGGCAGGTCCTGCTTGACAAACCTCATCTCCTTCTACGACAAAGTGACACGCTGGGTGGATGAGGGAAATGTTGTGGATGTTGTCTACCTTGACTTCAGCAAGGCTTTTGACACAGTTTCCCACAGCATTCTCCTCAAGAAACTGGCTGCTCGTGGCTTGGACTGGCGTACACTTTGTTGGGTTAGAAACTGGCTGGATAGCCAGGCCCAAAGAGTTGTGGTAAATCGAGCCAAATCCACTTGGAGACCAGTCACTAGTGGCATTCCCACAGGGCTCGGTGCTGGGGCCGGTCCTCTTTAATATCTTTATCGATGATCTGGATGAGGGCATTGAGTGCACCCTCAGTAAATTTGCAGGTAACACCAAGTTAGGTGCGTGTGTCGATCTGCTTGAGGGTAGGAAAGCTCTGCAGGAGGATCTGGATAGGCTGCACTGATGGGCTGAGGTCAACTGCATGAAGTTCAACAAGGCCAAGTGCCAGGTCCTGCACCTGGGGCGCAATAACCCCAAGCAAAGCTACAGGCAGGGAGTTGAGTGGTTGGAGAGCTGCCTGGCAGAGAAGGACCTGGGAGTGATGGTTGATAATCGACTGAATATGAGCCAGCAGTATGCTCAGGTGGCCAAGAAGGCCAATGGCATCCTGGCTTGTATCAGAAACAGTGTGACCAACAGGGCTAGGGAGGTGATCGTCCACTGTACTCGGCTCTGGTGAGGCCGCACCTCAAGTACTGTTTTGGGCCCCTCGCTACAAGAAGGACATCAAGGTGCTTGAGCGGGTCCAGAGAAGGGCGACGAAGCTGGTGAGAGGCCTGGAGAACAAGTCCTACGAGGAGCGGCTGAGGGAACTGGGCTTGTTTGGCCTGGAGAAAAGGATGCTCAGGGGTGACCTTATCGCTCTCTAAAGATACCTCAAAGGAGGCTGTAGTGAGGTGGGGGTTGGCCTGTTCTCCCACGTGCCTGGTGACAGGACAAGGGGGAACAGGCTAAAGTTGCGCCAGGGGAATTTTAGGTTGGATCTTAAGAAGAACTTCTTTACCGAAAGGGTTGTGAGGCATTGGAACAGGCTGCCCAGGGAGGTGGTGGAGTCACCATCTGTGGAGGTCTTTAAAAGACATTTAGATGTAGAGCTTAGGGATATGGTTTAGTGGGGACTGTTAGGGTTAGGTCAGAGGTTGGACTTGATGATCTTGAGGTCTCTTCTAACCTAGAAATTCTGTGATTCTGTGATTCTGTGATTCTGTGATCCATGGAGGTCCGAGATGACTGGAGACATGCTAATGTGATGCCCATCTATAAGAAGGGTCATAAGGAGGACCCAGGGAACTACAGGTCTGTCAGCATGTGCCAGGTAAAGTGATGGAAAAAGGTCATCCTTTATGAAATCATGGAACATATGGAGGACAGCTGAAGGATCAGGCCCAGTCAGCATTGGTTCATGAAAGGCAAGTCCTGTCTGACCAACCTCATCTCCTTCTATGTCTGGGTGACCTGCCTGGTGGATGAGGGAAAGCCTGTTGATGTGTCTTCCTAGACTTCAGCAAGGCTTTTGACAGTCTCCCACAGTATTCCTGGAGAAGCTGGCAGCCCATGGCTTGGACAGATAAACTCTTTGCTGGGTTAAAAATTGCCTGGATGGCTGGGCCTATAGTGGAGTGGTGAACAGAGTGAAATACAGCTGGCAGCCGGTCAGCAGTGGTGTTCCCCAGGGTTCGTTGTTGGGACCCACCCTCTTTAACATCTTTATTGATGATTTGGATGAGGGAATTGAATGCACCCTTAGTACGTTTGCAGGTGACAACAAGTTGGGGGGAAGTGTTGATCTGCTGGAGGGTAGGGAGACCATGCAGGGGGACCTGGAGAGGATGGGTTAATGATCAGAGGCCAATGAGTTGAGGTTCAACATGACTAAGTGCCGTGCACTTTGGCCACAACAACCCCATGCAATGCTAGAGGCTTGGAGCAGAATGGCTGTAAAGCTGTGCAGAGGAAAAGGATCTGGGGGTGTTGGTTGACGTCAACATGAGCCAGTGGTGTGGCCAGGTGGCCAAGAAGGCCAACAATATTCTGGCTTGTATCAGGAACAGTGTAGCCAGCAAGACCAGGGAAGTGATCATCCACTTGTATTCCTCTCTGGTAAGGCCACA